AGACGATCCTTCGTTAGAATTGGAAAAATATTCAACCTTTCCGTATACTTACGTTACCGAAAAACTTCAGCCTTAAAATGATATGTATACTGTTGCTTCGCGACTCTCGCAGCTGTACGAAGACGGAAGGCACCGTGTAAAAACACCACAGACGATCAAAACGAATCGGATTCATGCGCTAAAAACAAACCAAAAAAAAACCCAAACGAAAGAGGTACGAGATCCAAACGAAACAATAACCATAACGGGGGATGATCGATGGAAAGAAAATAACAGAGATCTGTGCGTGGTTCGTTGAAAAATTATATTTTTGTTCCATTCTGGCACGATTCGTAAACACAACATAATTTATAAATTAACATACACAATCGTCGTCATCAATAATTTACAGGAAACTCTCTCGCGCGCGGAGCGTTCTCGTTTTCTACTTGTTCGCCGTTTGTTACCAAAAAAAAAAAAAAAAACATTAACGGACCACCGCGTTCTCGCACGGGATCCACACACGGGGGGAGGGAATCGACACACCCCGTGCGAAAGGAGGGGAGTAATAGTCGGTGCTCGTTTTTCCATCGTTCGTTCTGCCACCTCTCTGTTTCGTTCAGTTTTCGGACGCAGAAGGGAACGACGATCGGACGGGCGGAGTAGAGCCTAGATGATTCGGCTGCATATATAAATCAGTCGAGGCGGAGGACCGCGAAAACGAACTGCACGAATGAACGAAAAATTTTTTTCTATAAATGCAGACACGCCATCGATGACACGAGCGAGAAAGAGGAAATTGAGCGTTCTTCTCCGACCCTTCCGACACGATGAAACCGACCGCGGGGGTGATTCGACGAAACTCTTGGGAACAAAGTGGGGGTGGGAGGGGAGCGAATGTAAGAACGGGACGAAAAATAGGAAGCTTGACTTGCGAATAGGATAACAAAATAAATAATAGAAGCATTAAACATGATTAATCACTTAACAACGTAACTAGGGCGTAATAATTAATAATAATAATATTATAATAATAATAATAATAGAAATAATTGTAATCGTACGAATGGCTAAGTGAGTGTTAATAATTACAAGAACAGGTTGTCTGGCACGGCGATCGCTTAATTGCCCGAGGACACGTCGAACGTGTTTTACGCATCGTTTCCCTTCTTCTTCTTCTTCTTCTTCTTCTTCTTCTTTACACTTATATATCCTCTTCGTGTGCAGAACGGGGCTCTTCGTGCGCAAGAGATTCTCTCACAAGTCTTAAGGCTGAATCGCGCGGAGAGGCGACATCGAGACGGAAGTGCCCCCCTCCCTCCCCGATAGCAACGCGTAACTTTCTCCCATCATGGGGAACGAAATCTTTGCAAATGACCATTTGCAATTTCACAAAAACAATCGGAGTACGGGGGCGTAGAGAACAGAAATAAAACGAAAAAAAAAAAAAAAACGAAATCAAAGTATCATTAAGAAACGAAAGCATTCTTAAAAGGGGGGACGGTTAAAAATGGAGCGCGAAGGCCAGGATCTCTTAAAACCTCGAGAGCTCCAATGACGAAAAACAAGAATCCTTCCGTCCCGAGGTCTCACCCCCTCTTGTTGTCCTTCTTCTCTCACAAACGGAGCCGCCTTCCCGAGTAAATCGTCACGATCGACCGAGGCGAGCTAAAATGGCAAGCAGAGAGCGATAGTTTTCCTTCTTAATGGCTAATTTACTCGTTCCGTGTTCCTCTCCTCGAAAAACGCTTAAACGGTAGACTAATTAGAAAAAAACCTCGGTATACAAAAATACAGATATACATGTCCGTGTGTGTGTGTTTGTGTGTGTGCGTGTGATCATGCGCACACCTTACCACCTGTGTAAAGACTCGTGTGCGCGATGTAAGTCTCGTTTTCGAAGAAAATGAAAAAATGCTCGACGGCGACGACGCGCGTCTTTTCCGCGCGCGTCCACCACCATGCATCTCGAACCTTGGGCCACGAACGGGGGACACCCATCGGACGAACGAGCTGAATTTATGGCAGGGAAAAAGGCAAACGGTCGAGGTTGAGCAAGGTTCAAATGTGGTCTTGGTTCCACGCGTGGTCCCCAGCCTAGTCGCGTGAAAGCCTTTTTAGGGGCGCCCAGGAAATCGGGGCCTCGGTGTTTCTCACAGTTATCGGTACTTCGACTGAACGATATTTCACCAAATTTCGGCAAGAATCGGCGCTATTAGTCGGGGGTGAAAATTCACTGGTCGCTCGAGATTGTTTCCCACGCTACATTTTGTCTTATGTTGTTTAAATTAGAACTTGTGAAATTTCTTTCGGTGTGCTGTTAGGAACCCTGATTGGCGTTCATTCGTGTAAATTTACTTTATGCAAGAAAGTATAAGAGAGTTATAAAGAATTTATGGATAGTACCGATTTACAGTACGTTTTTGTTATATGTTAATTGGGTTTTAAAGAAAGGAGAGAAAATCATTAACCCTACTGGTCTCCTCGAAATGAAGATTGTATTTCAATAGGTATCATGTTCTTGAATATTTGTTTTTAGTATCCGTAATCCTAGTCTACTTTTCGTGTATTTCCCATTTCTTAAGAACAAATCGTTTCGAAGTTTGAAATAATTTTATTCGACCGAACACTTATGAGGAGAACAGCAGGATTAAACATCAATGTGATAGAAAATTTGAGAATATTTCATAGTTAGAGAATTTTTAATAAAGAACGATAGTATAGGATGTCAAGGAACCCTGAGCGACCAATTAATGTTTCTTAAGACTACAAGGACACCTGGACGTCGGTCAACGAAGCGTTCGAGGCTCTGACTGTCCTCTGGATCGGATCGAACCGCGAAGCTCCGCATTCGCCTCGTGAACTGGTGAGTATTTTCGAGCGATCATTCGCGAAACGTCGTGGATCCGCGTGTAGTCGAAATCGGCCAATACTTCGTTGGAATACGCTCATCGACCGATCGATCAGTTCAAGATCGAGAAATCGAACGGGTCGCGCGTAAAAAGACCCGGAGGAAAACGAGCTTCGTCGAAACATCGTAACTTCGAATTAACAGACGAACCTACTCTGGTTCTTAGCGTTACGATCGATGAAACTTTTTATCGAACTGTACACTTTTTCGCTCGTTCTCCTCCCTGTTTTCCTTCCTTTTTTCTAAGATCTTCTCGCGGAGCCCCTTCGACACAGTATAAAAAAATATTTCTCTCTGTTCCTTCGCATGCATCGCAAACATTCTCACGCCGACAAACACAATGATAATAATATTAATATTAATATTCGTAATAATAAAAACGCAATAATAATATCAATATTACCCACTAATTAACGTTACGTGTCTAGACGCTTTATTATGCTTTATGTTTCATTCATTCTGCAGGTACGATTACGTTCGTTTTCACTCTCTCTTTTCTTTCTTTCTTCTTCTTTCCTTGCGCCCAAGAACCGTCGTGGCTCTCGTTCGCCATATTTCGTTCTAGGACACCCTCGAGGCTCTATTTCGCCCATGTGTGTGTTTACAACGGGTCTCGATCGCGAGTAACAACAGACTTCAATATAAATATATCACGACGCCATTCGAGAGGAAGAGTTTCGCAACGCGCGATAAAAAACATTCTACCCTATTTCGATTAACAATTATACCAATCGACGCACTCCGGTGCGTTTTCGAACAATCGTCTCGAGGACTCCGTTTTTTTTTTTTTGTTTCATTTTGTCGAGCGTATCACCAGACGAATCGACGATATTTTCTTTGTAGATCGCCAGCGACGACGAACGGGTTTCGAGAACAGCACTGGCTATTCGTTTATTTTATCATTCAAAAAACAACTTCTCTTTTTTTTTTCTTTTTAAATTAAGTAACAACGTTTAATTAAAAAATGGAAACGATCAAAGGATATGTGTCGCCAGCAATTTCTCGATCGATAAAATTTGGCACTGGGTTTCGTTCTCTCGGATCGCGGAACGTGCGTTTCGCAACAGGTGAGTTTCACGAGGAGATCGCGAGCAACCTTGCCTCGAATACAAGCACCGTTTCTCATGGACCTTCGCTGTTAACGCGTGAGGTTGCTTTCATATCGTCTTCGTTCCGAGTCAGCACCGCGTCGATCGCGATACAAGCATCGTTCAATCGAGATCGAATTCTCCAAGAAATTCCAATAATGATCGCCTATCGTGCAACCTATCGAACACGGATCACGCCACTTAAAATCTACAGAAGTTACCATTTCCACACATATGTTTCCGCCATGGTAAAAAAAAAACTGAAGCGCTCCCTGTCGACGATTCAACGAAAAGGAAAAAAAATGCGAATTCTTTCATTCGCAAATAAAAACTGAATCCCATATATGTAGGAGCGTTAGAAAAATGAGAGGGCCCAAGCGGGATTCGAACTCACGACCGCCGGGCACCGAAAGCAGAGACTCTATCCACTACTCCACGGAATCCTCCTATTTTCCCAAAATGTTATTTGCTCCTTTGTTGGGTATGGAGTTCCCGATCCCACATATAAAGTTTTCGAACTTTCCATTTTTCTTTTTTAAAAAAAAAAAAAAGTGTAAAACAAAACAGTCAACGAAAGGTCGAGTATTATTGGAATGATCCTCGAGTAACAATCGTCTCGATATACAAAGAACTCCGTAGTATCCGAGCGAGTTCGGAGGAAGCAACGGGGGAAGACGAAGAGATATACGATAATACTGTGACAAAAGCTCGTGAACGCGTTTAAAAGGACTCGCATAAAATTTCAAAGATCGATGAAACACTCGTAGGAGGAAAGAAAGATTCCCCAAAAATTCAGAAGATAATCGAGTAACTTCCTTAAACTCTATCGCCAGAGTTCCACTCGAAAATGGAGGGTAAATTCCCGGATGAACCGATCGTTCCATCGCCTTCCGTCGTTGTCCTCTTCAACCCCTGTCGCGTCGTCGACGTCGTTGCGACCTGACAGCAACGGATTCGAGCCTTTTTCCCCGTGAGCCACGGGGGACCAGGTCATTGTTACGTGGTCATCCACGTGGCCGTCGTCATTCGGCCTTGATCGCAGCGGATGGCGAGGCCATTTCCTGCCCGAACACTGGGCTCGCCTCGTCAGCAAGCAGTCCAGGTTCGCTCTTCGGGGTCTGCGCGTCCGGGAACTCGTTCTTGGGCGTCTGCAGATCCGGAAACTCGCTCTTCGGCGTCTGCACGTCCGGGAATCTCGCGTGGGTCCTCAGGTGCCTGGTGATCATATCCCGACGGCACGCTGCGTAAGCGCACTGCGGGCATTTGTACGGTTTCTCACCGGTGTGCGTTCTCTGATGGGTGCTCAGGTGATCGGACCTGCTGAATACCTGGCCGCAGGAATTGCACGTGTACGGTTTTACACCCGTGTGCAGCCTCATGTGTCTGGTGAGCATATCGGACCGGGCGAAGCTTCTTTTGCACACGTCGCAGAGGTACGCCTTCGCCGACGCGTCTTGGGGACCCTGTCTGCGATGCCTGGAAGCCATGTGCTTCGCCAGACGGTCGTGCAGGCTGAACATTTGACCGCAGACAGGGCATACGTAAGCGACGTCCGCGCCAGGCGGCATTTGCTCGACCACAGGCGAGACCACGATGTTGAACCTGGACGCAGCACTTTCCTTGGTCGTAGGGGATGCTACGTCGCCTTTTACCACCGGTACGCTGATCGAGCCCCTCGACAGGATCCCAGGCGGTAGTAGCTGAAGAGCCGGTGGTCGTCCAGATGCAGCCGCCGCGGCCGCTGACGCCATCAGGCTCTTCATAGATAGATCCAACGGCGATTCCTGGGGGCTCGTCGTCTCGCCCTCGAAGTAACCACTCTTCATCGGATAGTTCACGAGCACCGACGACGAAGAGGAGCTCGAGAGCACCGGTTTTTGGTCCCATCCAGGCGGCACCAGATCAGAGTCCGAGTGGCTCCGGCCACGGAAGATATCCGGCAGGTACTTGGTGTGCATATAGTGCTCGAAACTGTACGACGACAGAGAACCAGGCGTCAGCGCTGGCATGTTGAACGGCGGCATACTGAGCGGTGTGAGGGGTGTGAGCGGGACCAACGGTGAGGTTGGCGAAGGTAGCACCATCGGCGGGGTTCCCGACTGAGAGCACTGGACGCAGCTGCACCCGGTGGTATATTTCGGGGGCGCGGACGATCTCTGATGAGGCGGATGAGGATTATGATCGTACGGGTGATTCGTGTTGTTCCGGTGATTCGGCCTGTGCCGGTGACGATGATGATGGGGGTAATGGTGCGGATGATGCGGATGATGATTCTGCTGTTGATCGGCGTCGTTCGTGTTCCCGTCCTCGTCGGTGGGCGTCACGGGCTCCTCGCTCTTCAACCTCAGTGGTAGCAAACTGATACCGGGCGTTGGATCACCAGCGGATCTCGACGATAACCTCGGTGAACCGACCACATCTTCTTCCTCGGACGCTGGCGCGCTACCCTCGAACCTCAATACTTCGCCTTCCGACGGTGAACTACGATGCTGCAGAATGTCCAGCACCTGGTCCAGCCTCTTCCGTCTGCGGAAGTTCCGATGATTTCGGTTCGCGGTCGCCGCAAGAGTGTTGTTGTTCGTATAGGAGGGCGGTGGCGGCTTGGCCGGACCGGGGGGCGCGGCTGCAGCGTCCTCCACGGCGCTCTCGGCCATCGTCATCGAGGATGCGCGGCACCCGCCGCCTGGGCCCTTTATGCCGCCTACTACACCCTCGGCTACCACCGTACTGCCTCCCACCTCGTCCTGAAACAACCAAACGAAAAAGCCGCTCTTAACTTCTCTTCGATCTCTCCCAGTAATCTCGGGTATATTGTTAAATTACAGCCTCTCTACCCAAGAAGGGGCAACCTCATTTCCGATTGTTCATGCGAATCGGTTGGATACGCGTAATTTTATGAATCATCATCGTTTTAGTGCCGGACATGCGCGGATTCAACCGTGCATGCGTTTACGCGTGGGTTAAGGAAGGCTTATCTTACGTTATCTGCCTCTAAGAGAACCATTACGCGAACTGAGAAATCCTAGCTGGCTTTGGGGGGGAGGGGGGGGATCTTTGGCTTGGCTACGAAGAGGAGGAATCTTTGCGTGGAGCTGTTATCGTTGCTTACCCAGTCGACGGAGGGAAATAGCGGCGCGAGGAAGAATCTAGAAGTGCCGAGGATCCTCGATCCGTACGGATATCGGTGAAATAAGATCGTGCACGATGAGCAACGACCAAGGACACTCGAATCACGATCGTGGTAAATCACCATTAGCGTGGGTGTTTGATTTTTGCGTCGACACCGACAGTCTGTCATCGAACTGGCGACGGCCATTAAACGAAAGACGAGACAATCGCGAAACTCGATTCAGCTCGCGAGAATCGGATCGACGCGACACCGGTGCTCCGCGGGAATCGATCGTACCATATCGTTACACGTGTCGTTGAAAATGTTTGCGACCTCGAACACATTTAACGTCCTTCTTCCTACGATTTCTTCATTTTTTTTTTTTTTCAGACACACGTTAATTCAAATCCGGAAAAAATCACATGGAAAAATACCAGCAGTTTATGTTCGAATACGAAATAACCAATCAACAACGGTCGATACAACACGCGCACGGTCGAGAAAAAGTTCGCCTTCGCGACGTTCGTCCTTTTAATGTTTGTCCGTTTTAATGCGACCGTACGTGGACCACACGGCTCGTCTTGTTCGACGCGACAACGGCACTTTGTCATAAAACCACATGTAAGCGGAGAGGAGCTGTATATCCGGCGGAGCATTTGAAATTTAAATCGCGCGCGCGACGCGACCGCGAGCGCATGAATCACACACAGAGGAGGAACCGTGCACACGGGGAACGATGAATCGAGCTGAATCCTCGTTTTTCGGTGTAGGCGAGTTTCCGTGGAGATAGTCGCCGGACTCGTCCGGGTACGCCATAAAATTTGTAATGCCTGTCTCCTCGAAGCGCGCGCTCTCTCTCTCTCTCTCTCTTTCTCTTTTTCCCTTTCCATTCAGGACTAAGTAATTGATCGCTGGGAATTAGTAATTGCGTCATAGAAACAGAATATTTTTTGGGCCGATGCTTGAAAGATATTGATGTAAACACGTGGGAAACGATTTGAGCACGCATTATATTTCGTCATTTTATTTACTGGTAATGGGAAATCAAGAAAAATGATTTATATATATATATATATATATTGGTTTTGAAGGTAGGGAACTTTTATTTTGTACTTTTAAACGATTTCAAATGCTAAAATTGACAAAACAATTGTATATTTCTTAGTTATGAAGCAAAGAATTATTGTGAGATTCTGTTCGTTAAATTCTCTGTTTTGTTAACCCTTTAATGCCCAGAGTCTCAAACTGTTATTTCAAAATTATGAGACTGATTGGTTGTATCTTGTTATTTTGAAATCGAAAACATCTATATTACACCGACTTTTTCTTTTTATTTATTTTTAGAGGTAATACTTAAATTTCTTAATCGAAAACGCTGAGATCTGCTTTACTATCAGTGAAATTACAGCTCTTTGCTAACAAAAGTTAAACGTTAACTGGCGACAGAATTTGACGCACGTTTAAAGTGAGTGTTGCGCCGGTGCAACACTGGGCATTGAAGGGTTAAGTGCTAAATTGGTTTTTTATCACAATAAAACGACCGGAGATGTGTTACTGTATTTCTAATTTTCTAAGTAAAATATAACGATGTTAACAAAAATAGTTGATACTGTTAGATCTTGCGACAATAAAACACTTTTTCATCGCTCAATTTCATCTATATCTTCTGGTTTACGGAACGAAAAACGAAATTTATTATTTTATCCAAGGTAATTCGTAACAAAAACCTCAACTGAACTCAGTATCTATAACTTTATATATTTATATTGTAAAAACGTCTCCACAAAAAATATATATCATATTTTATTTATAGTCACTCACAAAAGTCGTCGTATACCCCACAAAGAAAGGCACTTTTGTGAGATGCATAAATCGTGTTTATCTTATTTGTTATAAAATAGTTAATATTACTTCATATGTCGATAGATGAAGACGACATTAGACCAAGTTATTGTTGATCTAGAATAAGTCAGACCTAGATTAAGTCTTGACCTAGAATAAGTTCAGAAACGATAAGACATGCACGTGATGCAGCGATACGAAGATTGCAACTTTGCATTGACGCAAACAGTCACCACTTCGAGCATCTCCTGTAGTGTAAGGAAGTGTATTTTACTACCACATTTGACCTTGCATGACCTTCAATGATAGCTCGCTGAAGTCGTTTCAACACCGGCTCTCACATCGAGATAAAAAAAACAGCATTCCATTAAACAAAATAGAGATGACCTTGAAATCTCCTCTATGCCTTCACCCGTGCAGAAAATGTTTGTGTCACAATATGCCCCCCTCTATACCGTGTAAGTTTTGTGTGTAACATTTTTTCATATTATTACAAATAACGGCAATATTCAAAGTGGACCTAGTTATTGCTCCACCCTGTATAAATATTCCGCTTATTCGGGTAACCGATTAACGGAGACGGCCGTTTATTTGGAACAAGGTCAAAGAACAAAGCCTAATCAAATGTACTGTGATATTTCGTATAATTGGGACAGCCGCTTGATCGGGCCAAAGGAAGCTAGTCTCGGTGTGCCCCAAATAACAGGAATCCACTGTAAATAGATTCTACAGTCTAGTGTTGATTAAACGATTCACCACTAAAATCGGCAGTGCAACCGAAGAAAACACTTGATTTCAAGCTGCCCAAATGAAATTTAAATAAACGAAACATCTGTTGCAACTCGTGCAACCAACGCTAGCTTAACAGAATTACAATTTCCATGAGTAGAACGCTGGAACGATCCGCGGTAACGATGTCCTACAACGCGAATGCATTTAACAACAGGTAGCAAGCGGTTTAGCCACGAAGAAGAATCGGGGAGAAAACGGTCTCTGTCGAGAGGCAATATCGATTACCTAAATTACCCGCAGTAAATTAGACGAGGGACTGGGACGACCGTGCGCGTTTAAATTTTTCGATCGGGATTTATGGCGGCGATTATGCAGAAAATATATTCCCCCGGGAATTCCGCGCGGATGAAACGTGCCGCCCGCCTTTCAACGACTCTCTAGCAAGCGTCAGCGCCAGCGTCAGCCAACCAGCCAGCGCGATCGTATGGCGAGGTATCTCCCTCCCGGTTTGAAACCTGTCGATACCCAAACGGCGATGATTTTCCAAGCCGTCGACAATTAGTCGCATCCACGGAATAGAAATTCGCGTTCCCGGAAGGCGCGACGGCCTTTCGCACCAGCGACACAGATGTCCCGGCGAAGAGACTTTCCAGCGATTCGTGCCTATTACATTCCATCGCGTACACACGGGGCCAGTTACCCGCTCGTTGAAATCGATTTGATCCCCCGACGTTCCTTTCATGGCGAAACGGCCGAATGCCTGGCCGGCATTAACGCGGCAAAACGTCCATACACACGTAGACGACACGGACACGAAGCCACGGAAGCTTGCGGCACAACCTCGAATTACGAAGAAATCCTAGCACGTGCGAGCGAACGAGCAATTCCGTTTTGCGACACACCGATCACACGAGGCCTTCAACTTTACACCTCCGCTACGCTTGGCAGAATCGCTGGTGGTGGGACGGCGATAAACCATCTACGTGGCCGTCGTTGATGCGCGGGAGATTTATTCGAGCTGTTCGGGATTGAGCATGATGGTTTCAGAAATGGGCGAATTCATTATATGTAGATTTTCGGATAACGAATAAACGAGTTTAAAAAGTAGTCCGTACGTTTTAATTGATTGAACGTGGAGATTGCAATTTTTAAAAATAATATATTACTTATTCTTCTTGAATGAGTAGGTACTTCGTAAATCATTATTAAATCTCCATTGGTTTGCAGCAAAGAATGTTTTCAAAAAATGGCTATATTTTTGCATAACATGTGAGAAAATAGTTTTATTTGAATTGTGAATTGTGTACACCTGTAGGTACATGTGCACGATCTACATATACAATAAGCTCGTCCCTTCAAGAAAAATTAATTCCTTAATTTCTCCCTGGCAACTATGAATTTTCCCGTGGATGTGTGATTTGATCTGTGCAATAAATTGTCGCTAACAAATTCCATCCACATATAAATTAATAATATTCGAAATAAACAATCAATAATTTTCTTTCTTAACTGTCCAATCATTATATGCGAGTCCTTTAAAGCGTCCGCCTTTTAACTAGTAATGTAAAAAAACTATAAACAATTTGTCACATAACAAATTACGTATCTCTTCCAACATCATATCTTCTCAAGTCAGTCATAACAACATCCGATCCAGAGTACGTCAATCCACCAATACCCCCGCGAGATCGGGTCCCGAACGGGGATCAAGAAGCCGGGGGCAGTATAATATTCATATCACCATCATCAATGCCTATAATCGACTCGCTACAATGTATCGTTCACGTTCCAAGTATCGAGCCATTCATTCTCAACACGGCAGGATATTCGCCGTTTGAAGAAGAAGGAGGTGGGTGAGGCAAACTGAACATCCTATCGATCCAATCTCCCTTTATATCCCCACCGTCGATGGACTTCCATTTTCCTCCACGGTATATATTCCGCGGCCATTCCGACGCAATATTCGTATCGGGGATCGAGAGAGATCCGCGGTCGGATAGCGGGAGTCGTCTCACGGCGGTCTTCTTCTTCTTCTTCTTCGTCCCTGTTCTTCCTTACCGG